GAGAACTGTCTGTTCAGGTCGTTTGTCTATTTTCTAATCGGATTATCTTTCTGATGTTGAAATTGTAAGAGTTCTTCATGTATTCTAGATACTGGATCCTTATCAGATATACAATTTTCTCTCATTCTTTCTTTTTACATTTTTGATAATGCCCTTAGATGCACGAAAGCGTATTAGCTTTTGTTTATCTGTGAATGTCTTAACAACTTCTTTTTGGCTTTTTTTTTTGAGACGGAGTCTTGCTCTTTCACCCAGGCTAGAATGCAGTGGCATGATCTCAGCTCATTGCAACCTCTGCCTCCCAGGTTCAAGCGATTCTCCTGCCTCAGCCTCCTGACTAACTGGGATTACAGGTGCATACCACCATGCCCAGCTAATTTTTGTATTTTTAGTACAGACAGAGTTTCACCACATTGGCCAGGCTGGTCTCGAACTCAGGTGATCCACCTGCCTCGGCCTCCCAAAGTGCTGAGATTACAGGCATGAGCCACCAGGCCCAGAAAACTTCATTTCTGAATGACAGTTTTACCAGATACAGAATTCTTAGTTGACAGGTTTTTTTTGCTCCTCTCTCACCATTTTTAAAATGTCACCCCAATGCCTTCGGACCCCCATGGCTTCTGATAAATCCTACTGAGGGTCCCTTGTGTGTGACCAGTTACTTCTCTCTCTCTCTGCTTTCAGGGTGTCCTCTTAGTCTGTGGGTGTCAGCTGCTTGGTTATGTATCTCATTATGGATTTTTCTCCTGTTATCCTTCATGGGCTTTGTTGTACTTCCTCAATGTACAGATTAATGTCTTTTATCAAATTTAGAAAGTTTTTGGCCATTATCCCTTCATATATTTTCTCTGTCCTCTTTCTCCTCGCCTTCTTGCATCTCCATCATGTGTATTTGGTATGCTTGATGCTGTCCCATAGGTCTCTTAAGAGCTGCTCTTTTTTTTTTTTTTTTTTTCCCATTCTTTCTGCTCCTCAAACTGGGTAAGTACAATTGACCTAGGCTAAGTTCACTGATTCTCTGGTGTGCTCAATTCTGCTACTGAAACCCTCTAGTGTTTCTCTTCACTTACTGTACTTGTCAGTGCCAGAATCTGTTTGCTTCCTTTAGATAATCCTCTACTTGTTCCTACATCATTCTCCTGATATCTTTTAAGCAATATCCCCATGATTTCCTTGAGCACCTTGGCACACTTAAGTCAGCTGATTGAAACTTTTTGTCTCCTAAGTCTGATGTCTGGCTTTCCTCAGGGGCAGCTACTATTACCTTCTTCTGGGAGTGGGCCACACTTTGTTTTGTTGCATACTTTGTAATGTTTTTTGTAGAAAACTGGACACGCACCGGGCACAGTGGCTCACACCTATAATCACAGCACTTTGGGAGGCCATGGCAAGTGGATCACCTGAGGTCAGGAGTTCGAGACCAGCCTGGCCAACATGGCAAAACCCCATCTCTACAAAATACAAAAAATAGCCAGGCATCGTGGCACACGCCTGTAATTCCAGCTACTCGGGAGGCTGAGGCAGGAGAATCACTTGAAGCCAGGGGGCGGAGATTGCACTGAGCTGAGATTGCACCATTGCACTCCAGCCTTGGCGACAGAGCAAGACTCTGTCTAAAAAAAGAAAAAAAAAAGAAAACTGGCCATATATTATAACCAGGTAATTCTTGAAATTAGCTATTTCTCCCTCTTCTTGGTTGATTTTATTGTTACATGTTGTAGCTGTGTTCATCTACTGATTTTTCTACACTATTTTTGTAAAGTGTGCATTCTTTATCATGGATGGTCTCTAAGTCTCTCTTCCATTCTTATATTCAGACAGGGTTCTGACAAAGATTCCCTTCAATATGAAGAGAGAAAAAGGACGGGCAGGGGAGGAGCAAACAAACCCAAACAAAACCTGTCCTGGGCTTTGCAGCCTCGCTCTGTGCTGCAGCCTCACGCAGGATTTAGCCAGGCCATTAACAACTCTGCTGCATCCTTCCCCTCCTCCTTGCACTGAGCCTAGAAACCAGCCAGAGGGAAAGACTTTAGATCTGAGTGTTCCTCCAGTTCTTGGCTTGCATGTCACTTCCAAACTTCCCAGCAGCACAGGGGAATTTCTGAATGCTCAAATTTCCCAAAGAAACTCCCTCCCCAGCTTCTTCTGCCTGGCACTTGACACTCTACTGTCTGGCTTGACTGTCATCTTTTGCCCTAGGCTACTACAGGCTGTTCATTAGCCTTGCATATGTTTGAGAAATCCCGCTACATTTCTGCTTTTCTGTCCTGATTCAAGTTAGGCGAAAAAAGACAAGCACCTAGCGTCAACCCTCCAAGCAGTCCCCCAACTGGTTAGACGCAGAAACAATTCTTTTGGAATAAGCTGCAAACAGCGAACATGGGCCATCATCTTCAAGACTAGTGCCCTGTTACAGGATTGGGAGAAGGTGTTGAGATCAGGGCAATTGTGGGGAAAAAACCTTTCCAACTGTTTCTAGGTTGACTTTTTCTGAAAGCAGCAATTTCCTGGGTGCTATAAACCTTTGACTTTTCTAGAGCTCTGAAGTAGTTAGTTCTAACAGTTTCTGCTTGATTTTCAATGTTTCTGTGGAAGGGCAGACATACGGAGCCGCCAACTCTGCCATTACACTGCCATCACCACTCTAGTTATTTCTGAATGATACAATTAATACACCAGAAAAACATCTCTGCCTAGCCCCTCCGTTACAACAATTTTAAAAATAAGATAGATCTATATTATATTCTTACAAAGACAATGCAAAGTTATACATAATTTACCAGGCCATTTGGGGGTTTTCTCCTCCAATACTAAAGCCTACCTTCTTCATCCTTCCTCCACCATGCCACCATTCAAGCATCAAAGAGTTTTTATAATTTTTCAACTCCATGGAGAAAAAACATTGTTTCCAACAGATCATACTAGGACAACCTGATATTCATACAAAAGAATATGGACCCACACCTTACCCCATACACAAAATGAATTAAACAACCCAGTTAAAAAGTTGGCAAAAGGGATTGGCGTGGCTCACACCTGTAATCCCAGCCCGAGGCGGGTGGATCACGAGGTCAGGAGTTCAAGACCAGTCTGGCCAACATAGTGAAACCCGTATCTACTAAAAATACAAAACGTCAGCCAGGCGCAGTGGCAGGCACCTGTAAACCCAGTTACTCGGGAGGCTGAGGCAGGAGGATTGCTTGAACCTGGGAGGCGGAAGCTGCAGTGAACGGAGATCGTGCCACTGCCCTGCAGCCTGGGCGACAGAGCAAGACTCCGTCTCAAAAAAAGAAAAAAAACAAAAAACAAAAACTCAGCAAAGGATCTGAGCAGTTATTTACCCAGAAAAGATATACAAACAGCTAATCAGCTAATAAGCAAATGCAAAGATGCTCAACATCATTAATCATTAAGAAAATACAAACCCAAACCACGACGAAATACTACTTCACACCCACTATAATCCAAAAGCAGTGGCTACAATAAAATAGGCAGAGAGTAATGTACAGGTGAGGATGTGGGAAAACTGGAACCCTCATCCATTGCTGGTAGGGATGTAAAATGGTGTGGCCAATTAGGAAAGCAGGTTGACAATCCTTTAAAACGCTAACCATAGAGTTACCAAATAATCCAGCAATTTCACTCCTAGGTATGTATCCAAAATAAATGAAAACAATTTTCACACAAAAGCTTGTACACAAATGTCCATAGCTGCATTATTCACAACAGTCACAAAGTAGAAACAACCCCAAATATCTATCCACTAATGAATGGATACACAAAACGTGCTCTATCAGACATTGGAATATTACTGAGCAGCAAAAGGAAATAAAGTACTGATGAAAGTTACTACCAGATGAACCTTGAAAACATGCCCAGTGCAAGTAGTTGGTGACAAAGGACCACATGTTGCATAATTCCATTGATATGAAATGTGCAGAGTGGGCAACACCACAGAGACAAAAAAGGAGAACAGTGGCTGCCTGGAGCTGGGGTAGGGTGGTGAGGGAAACAGAGAATGACTCCTGCCTTCTAATGTATTCAGGGCTCCTTCTGAGAATGTCAAAAGTGTGCTAAACTTAAATGACGGTGATGGTGATGGCTGCACAACTTTATGAATATACCAAAAAACACTGAATTGTATACTTTACATGGATAAATTTTATGTTACGTGAAATACAGCCCAATAAGGTGTTAAAAGTAAGTCATTTTTGAAGGTACTGTCTCAAGTTAAATAATTCATTGTAAATGTCCTCTTACATACAGAAGATAAAAATCCACTGTAAACTTTTTAAACAGACTTTGGGGTTATTATGAATACCCATTCAGTTTTTGAGTGTCTCCCTTATTCCCAAGGTTTTCAGTCACTTTTTTACTGTCTCATGCCTACCTGTAATCATGTTCCTCCCTCTCTTCTTAATGCATTGCTTCTTTTACTACTATGGACTGAAAAATCATAAACAAGCACTTGAAAGATGTAAGTGAAGCAAGAGTTAAGGCCCTGAATGAAGGTTAAGGAGAAACGTGCATGCATCAGTTACCATCTCAGATCACGATATTTATTTCCGTTGTTCAAAGGCCTCTGTACTTAAGAATAGGTTAATGCCATGGTATAGACGTTTGACCTTTATGAGTGTGTTTAAAATATAATACCAAGATAGATTTTAGATAAAGTGACATTATGCCTCTCAGAAAATACGTATATACCAATAGAGCACATTATATGATTATTAATAATATATGTACATGCCTGTGTGGTTGTGTGTGCGTTTGTATATATGTGTGCACGACATACATCCAAACATCTAGAGAATGAACAAAAGTCTACCCTAAAATTGCATGCACTATACATTATAAGGAAATTAATTAGATATCATACACAATCACATAATACTATTTCCAGTAATAGAATTAAAATGTTTTCATACATTTGTTACGTTAACTCTAAAATGATAATTACAGTAAGCAAACGCTAAGCAGGATTAAAGCATCTTGCTGACCTCTTACTGTAAGCTTGCTATATAGCTGTGAATTCACCTCCTTGTCACGCTGAAAACGCCGAAATTCATCGATTGCTTCCCGTGTCATAGTCACAGCCAAGACAAATCCCTATAAAACAAAATAAGGTATTTTTAGAAAACTGAACTTTAACAAAAAAGAGAAAATTATTTGTTACTTGGTTTAACTTTTTTCCTTCCATTTATATTACTCTCTAAAACATAAAATAAATGAAAACCAAAAACGTCAAAAAGTAACAATGAAATATTACAAAAGGATTCACTGTAAAAGGTTTACAACTCTTAGTATACTCCCAAAATTTTTAATTCACCTCCTAATATATACTTCAAGCTAAATGTCAGAAAATACCTAGTAACCCAAAGAAAAAGAAATTAACAATCTTCGATAAACCCACAAATTACATTTAGAATACTTGGGCATTCAAATACAAAATTTACAATCACTGACATAAAAACCTTATACTTAATTTCTGCACTTAAATTTTTCTTACAGAATAAAAGTATTTATAAACTTTACAGAATAAAAGTATTTAAATAAAAGTATTTAGGAACACAAAACAATTCCCAGATAGATAATCACACATCAATTTTCTTACATAGTGCATTATTATATAACTCTAGTAGAATGAACAATTATAGTGCTTTCATCTCACTTTTAAGTAAAAATCTGACTATTACTAATATGATGCTATCTAGAAAAAAAATTTTATAACCTCATAATTTATTGTGAAGCCCATTATACGACTAATATGAAGCTAATGCCCATCATTTTTAAAGGCTGCATATATATTTTCTGACATGTTACGGAAATATTCTTCAAGTCAATCTCTATTATTAATGATGACCTTGCTTCAGTCAGAACTGTAAATAACGGAACACTGGATGTATGTCCACTGAAAGCAAAATAATCTATTTTATTTCAGTTTTTTGTTTTCTGTATAACCAATAGGCCAAATTAAGTGTGCTGCTGGAGAATGTTTCTTATATTTACTGAAATGGTATTTTTCTCATGTGTCCTATTTGAAAACCCCTTCAACAGTCATGACTTAAACATGGATTCTTCTAGTCTCTTTTCCATTCAAAATCAACCTGACAGCCTGTGTCTCTCACTCCTTTTCAGCCCCTCTGCCATCTCTCTTCCGCCACACTGTGTGCTCTCCCCCTAATCATGAGCCTCCGTTGGCCCTACAACCATCTCTCCCTGAGCACATCAAGCCCTTAGTCTGCACTCTGCACCATCGGAAACCTTTTCACATCCAGTTTACTTCTCCACTTGCCACAATCTCTTTCCACCACCACTTGACTAAAACTCTCAAGTAAGGTGGACCATCTCAAGAAACTTCCCATTCCTCTGCGCATTACAATCGTTCACCAGGCCCTCTTTCTAATTCCCCGTCCCTTGGCTTCCTGGACAGCACATTCTCCTGGTGCCATGTACCCCTCTTTATCCAGTCACCCCAAAGCTGGCCTCAGTCCACTGATGGCCCAATTCTCTACCCATCCCACTGCCATCGTCCATAAGCAATACTGTGGCTCCTTCCTCCAACTGCTAACTGTGCTTCCTTCTACACCTCTCCAGCCTGACTGCATTCTGTGTGGCACCCCAGCCAGACCCAGGCTCTCCCCAGCTATCCCACTGAAATACAGTGCTCTCCCCAAGTCCCTAACCTTACGAATAGACAGATCTCTAGCCTTGTCCCCCACTCAATATTGCCGTATCCTTCGACACTACGGAACTATGAATAGTCTCCTGAAACACCACGATGTCTTTCTGATCTTTGCCAGTGTACTCCCAGGGGTTATTGGAAGCATTGTTTTGAGAAGTACCCTAAAGCCACTCTTGGACTCAAGGAAAAAGCAGCCATGAACGATTTGTGATGTGCCCCACTTGCAAAAAAGGCAGGCATGGCACGGCATGTGCCATGTATTTGCTCTGGTCTCCACTGAAGACAACGGCTGATGAGCAGAGTAAGACCTCACCTAGGTCCTTTAGCACACACTGTATTCTTTTTTTAGATAATAGTTTTATTGACATATAATTCACATGCCATAAAATTAACACTATAAAAGTATACAATTCGTTTTTTAGTACCTTCACAGAGTTGTACAACCATCACTATCATCTAATTTTAGAAGATTTCCATCACCCCAAAAAGAAGCACCATACCCACTGGAAGTCACCTCCCATTCCCTCCCACTCCTAGGCCCTGGCAATGACTCATCTCCTTTCTGTCTCTATGGGTTTTCCTATTCTGGGTGACAACATGGTAATTCTGCGTGTAGTATTTTGAGGAACTACCAAACTGTTCCTCAAAGTGGCTCCACCACTTTACATTCCCGCCAGCAACTAATGAGGGTACCAATGTCTCCACATCCTCACCAACACTTGTTACTGTCTGCCCTTTATATTGTAGCTATCCTACTAGGTGTGAAGTAGTATCTCTGGTTTTAACTGGCATTCCTCTACTGACTAATGATGTTGAACAACTTTTCACATGCTTATTGGCCATTTGTATATCTTCTTTGGGTAAATGTCTATTCAGACCCTTTACCTACTTCTTTCCTAGGTTTAATTGTTGAATTATAAGAGTTACTATTTTGGTGCCCTAGTTGAAAATCAATGTGTCATAAACATCAAGGTTGATTTCTGGATTCTCAATTACATTGATCTATGCACCTATCTTTATGTCAGTACCATACTGTCTTGATCACGCAGTTTGTAGTAAGTTTGGGAATGGGAAAGTGTGAGTCCTCCAACTTTGATCTATTGTTTTCTATGATGTATTAGCTACTCTGAGCCCCTTGTATTTTCATATGGATTTTAGGATCAATCTGCCAATTTCTCCAAAAAAAAATTTTTTTAATAAAAAAAAAGCCAGTTAGGATTCTGTTAGGCATTGGATTAAATTTGTAGGTCAATTTGAAGAGTGCTGCCATATTAACAATATTAAGTCCTTCAACTAATGAACGACTTTCCACTTATTCAGACCTTTCATTTTTTTCAAAATTCTTTCATAGTTTTCAGTATGTAATTTCATGCTTTAAGTTTATTCCTATTATTTTCTTTTTGATGAAATTATAAATGGAATTGTTATCCTAATTTCATTTTGGGATGGTCATTGCTAGAAATACAAGTGACTTTTGTACGATCATCTTGTATCCTGCAACCCTGCTAAATCATTTTGTTTAGTTACAATATTTTTGTGTGTAGATTCCCTAGGTTTTCCTATAAACAAGGTCACGCCATCTGTGACTAGAGACAGACTTTCTTCTTTCTTTCCATCTAGATGCCTTTTACTTCATTTTCTTCTAACTGCCCTATTTACCTTCAACACAATGTTGAACAGAACTGGTGGGAGCAAACACCCTTGTTCCTAAGCTTAAGGGGAACACATTCAGTCTTTTATGACTAAGAGTGATGCTAGCTGTGTGAAGTACAAAATTTTAAGAATAGAAGAAATTTTTGTATTATAATAAATGTCTCCATAATAAAGTGAAGAATATACAATAGGGAATGATGGCTAGTTTCTTCAAAGCTAATAACAAGGGATGACAAAGCAGCAATGAAATAAAAGTAGTCACCAAAAAGCCTATTAGTTAGAGACAAAGAAGAACCTGAATATAAATTCATCGTTTTATTGAACTAGAGTTAGCAACAGAAAAACAAAGAAAATGAATATGAAAAGCAAAAGCAGCAGATATCCCCAAAAAAGTTCAAAGAAAGCTGGTGTTATCAAAAGCAGCCTTAAAATTTGCACATATTTAACCAAGCGGTTTTACTTCTAGAAACTTATCCTAAAGGAAAAATTCTAGGATCACAGCATGAATATGAAAAATTAGAAATAACCTGAATGTCCACAAGTAAGAAATTCATAGCACAGAGTCATATGAGGAAATGCTCTATTTCCTTGATTCAACGATGTCACTGGTTTTAAGATACATCAGTATTATTTTAGTAGTAGTCTTGGGTGGGAAGACAGCAGCATTGTAAATATATACATTTTATAAGCCACAGCTCAATTTTAATAACATAAAAAACATGCATCTTTGAATCCAGGAAATATACTTGTCTGCAGCTATTCCCACGTAAGAGAAGATTTACTGCTACAGATTCATGTTCATGATGCAGAGGTAACTTCTTAAAGTTCTGTTTGTGACTCACTGAGACAGAGAATGAAAGTGATTAGCAAGCACGTTTTATTTATATAGTATAGACAATATTCTAAAGGAGTGTTTTTTAATCATAATCACCTGAAAGACTTTTGGAACATAAATTTGCTCCAACCCTATCTGAAACGTGTACTTTTACCTCTAATTTCCAGGGAAGAGATCTCAGACACATATGTTAAACTCTCCAGGTGACTCTTAATTTTCACCCCTTTAAATTTATGGCTTAAAGACAGCAAAAGTTAACCAAATTCATTAAGTAATCATAAACCACAAAAATGTGCTAGTTCCTAAGAACTCAAGGAAGTCAGTGAAATTAAGCTCCTACTTCAAATGTAGTAGTATTAAAGAAGACAGAACAAAGAGGGTTAGGTCCCAAGTCCTGAAAACAGGAGTTAAACACTGTTAAGAGGAAACAGGATCCTGGTCACGGGCAAGGACTATGAGAGTGTCCAAGCTGCTTTACAACACATTTCCAAATCTGTTTCTCTGAAAAGTAACACAAGTGTAGGATTCTCAACATTCAAAAGATGTCACCACCATCACGTCCATCTCCAGCATATCTATCCTAAGGAAATGCCCAATGGCCAGCCTAGGAACATAAAAGAGACTAAAGGAAAGGGAAGTTAAGGCCACCATTTCCTTCTGCCACTGGAGTCTACAATAAATGAGCCTCTACCGTAAGAGTTTAGATCTGAGTTCTTAAATGGATCATTACAGATTGGTGGTTTATGGAGGACTGGAGTAAGCAAGTCTTACTGTAGGAGCACTTGGGTCTTCCCACTACCTCGATACCAACCAGGTCAGAGGTTTATGCTATAACACTGCTCCCTAGAAAAATCAAAACTGGAAGCAGAAGGGCCATATAAACTACTGACATCCTGGAAACAGCAGTATTTGTGCACGAGTGTGTCAGACAGATTG